TTTCAATCTTGTTTTAATATTTGGATAAGTGCGCCTCATGTTACGATTGGTATATACAAACTTGACAGACATGTACACTGCCCTAAATCAGGGCTATTAATGATTGAAGTATAGTTCATCCACAATAGTGTTTGTGATTGTTGTAGCAGAGAGCAGAACTCTTTACTATAAGAAGTGCTTTCAAATATGCTATGAGAAATATAATGATATGGTGGCAAATTAGTAGCATTACTTCAATATACATGTAAATCCTGCGGACAAAGCATGCAAAAATAGGCATAACTCCCAGTTTTTAACTAACAAAACAAGATATGAGAGTAGATTGATTTATTTTATTTAAAACTTTGCGAAATATGGTAGAAAAAATGCAACAGGTAATAATATATGATGTTCACACAGTAAATCTTGCTCATGAGCTACCGTAAGGTAAGGTATGTAAACAGTACTAACAATATGTACGTCATATGCAGGAAATTGAGGCACACTTATCAAAATGTTCAGGGAAGATTATTGTCTACCTATTATACAAATTGCTTCATTAAGAAATGCTCTAACATCCATAAAACTAATGATACAGAGTTGTATCATCTGGTAAAACTGCCAAATAATATGGTATCTTGACCGAAAGGTCTCAGGTATACAACTTGGTTTTAAATCACAGGATTTCTAAATATATAACAGCTGAAAAATTCAATACATAAATACAATATAAGATGGTTGGTTTACTTAACATTTATTAGTTGATTAACTATACACATTTGTTTTGTATAACAAGCAGAGCCTACCTAGCTGCCACACTCATCAGGGGAATTTGAATCTGAATTCAACCTGATGAGTGTGGTAGGCTGTCCTTGTTAATAAACCAAACAAATTTAATAAAATTGTATTAAGAAAATCAAGTTTATTGATATATGTTTATTAATAAACAGTTTCATACTACAGGATGTCAATTGAGCATTCTGCCAAATAACTCATTTACAAATTCCATATATAATAAAAATATTGCTATTATTTCTATTCTATATGTATAATTTCTCACATCGCATTCTTAAAACCTCGAGTTCAAAGGTTTGTTTTCCCGTGTCTTAGAGTAATAGCTTGCGTGACGGCAGACAGATATGCTTTAATAAGGGCCTGTTTACATGGAGCGAGTTGAAAACTGCATACCTGGTATAATGAAATACTAATGCTTCATGTAAACAGGCCCTAAATATCAACTTCATTTGCTTTTGTCTTATTTATAACTCATGACCGTGCCATGGAAGACAATCACAACTTAAATATAGTCAGGAGGACAAACACATACTTTTATCTCACAAGTGATATTAAAGCGAGCTTGCTTTTACATGACAAACATATACATATATACATCTATTGCCAGAGTTATGATTTAATAATTATACGTATGATTTAATAATTATACCTGACACGAAATTGATAGCCTGGCTATTAAATTAATAGAAACTTTCCCATGAGGTTTAACATATATCAATGTTACAAAGTAATTTGAGTTTAATCAACCCTGACGGCTGACGATATTCCTACCTGTGCAAAAGGGCAATATCTCATACTATAAATTCGAAATTTCTTCGTCTTATCGAATTCAGGTTTTGGATCCCCAGTCTGTAGATGCTTGCTTGACATTATTAAGGGTTCTGAGTAGACCTCCAGCGATTTTTTTCAATTTTCTATTCTTTGGATCTTGAAGTATGCAAAATGTATGACTCACTGGACGACACTGGTATGTACATTGGACAATACTCACAACCCAGTCAATTCTTTTACATCACTCAAATGGCGATTATAAATAACAAGCGAATAAATCGGCAAGTGTTTTCCACTTTCACTCTAGGTAATGATTTCGTTAGAATGTCTGCTGGCATTTCTTCGGTTGGAACATTGTGAATCTTTACTTCCTTGTTTTCCACTCTTTCTCTTAAGAAATGTAATTTCGTTGCGATATGTTTGGATCGTTAATGCGTCACTGGATTATGACACATCTTTATGCATGATTGCTTGTCTTCGCCAATGTGGGTTGGTTGATGAAAACTGGTATACCAAGATCTTTTAGGAGTGCTCGTAGGTAGATAGCTTCTTGGACTGCTGCAGCCATAGCTTGGTACTTCTGCAGATGATTCTCCCAGCTAATATGGCACCACCGTTTTCTTCAAACTTAAAGTAGCATCCTGTGGTTGACTTGCGGTCGTTGAGATCTCCATTCCAATCAGCATCTGAGTCACTCACTAATCACATTGAGGTTTGAATTCTTTGAGAATGTTAATTGTAAAGCAATAGTTCCTTTTAGGTATCGCAGGACGTGTTTGGCCGCTCTCCAATGTGATGTGTTGGGTTATCTAAGAATCGCGACAGTTGATTGAAGACGTTTAGGATGTCTGGGCGTGTTTGCTTGCCAATGAATAGAAGTGAACCAACTAGACTTCTATACAGCTCAGGATCTACTAACTTTTGTTCTTCGTTCCCTTTAACTAGCTCTAGATTTACTTCTCCAGGTGTCCATGGACACTTGATAACTGTCATAGAGAGCGACGGACAGCCAGTGAAACCTGTCAAAAATCCTGAATCGGTTATTGTGTTTCCTGGAGAGACATTCGTTGTTGAATCTCAAACTAATGAGACCGCGGGAAGATACTGGATAAGGGCAAGCACGTCACAAACAGGGTGAAATGAACAGTCTCCTTCGATTGATGGAAAAATTTATGTAAATGTAATTGCAATTCTAGTGGTAGGAGACGATTCTCTAGGCAATCGGGATCCTGAGACTAGAAGAAAAATATGCAGAATTGAATCACCTTATAATGTTTTAAATTGCCCTTGGAACACCTATCCAGGGAATTTGTTTCCTAACAATGTAAATATACATCTGTCTTCTATGAGACTAGATAGATCTCTACTAAATGAAAAACAAAAAAAGGAAAACTTGGAGAGAAACGAGGCATATGTCGAACTTTTCCTAAACTTGGCATATACAATAGGATATTCAATAAATAATCGCCGAATGATCCTAAAAAAGTCACCATTACTTCAAGATCCAGAAACCTGGGGATTGGCTCCTTGAAAGCAAAACCTAACCGAAAGTGGTCAATTTTGTTCTCACATCGTAAATTTACCTTTTAACAAAACCGTCCAGTGAGGCTTGATGTCGGATATATTTGGCGGACTTCAATCTGCAACAAGCTTTGAAAACATCGGAAAAGCACATTACCCAATGCATGCTCTTCGTCATAGTTTCAGACTACTAAAATTGGATACCCATGCAGCGGTGGACAATGTTACTGGGGGGTTTTTATTCCTTTTATTATTTTTGGTCGTAACAGGGGGATTTTGGGGCGAAATGTATTTTGAATTTAAAAGCTGTTAGCTAACTTGGACCCAGGGCTTGACCGGATATACGACCCGACGCTCATTGAAGATCGTATGTAACCGTATCTGTCTACGTTAAAGTTTTGTCTCGCATGAGTTGTGTTGCGCTTATCGAATCTCGGGCCAATTTTCCGAAGCACGATTTGAATTTGCTCACATGATAAACGGTAACTCATCCACGAGGCAAGAATAAGCCGTTCTTTTAATGCTGTTCGATTAAATTTAGGTTTATAATTGGGGTAAAAATGGATACGTTTAATTGGATACATGTGGATTTTTGTTCGGTTTTAATAAAATTTTAAGGTAGTATCGCTGTTACATATTTCACCGTTTTAATGTGATCGCGTATGGCGCGTTGACAAATTGCACGCGATAAAAAAGAAACGATCAAGGACTAACACTAAAACACATATAGATAACAGATAACCAAAACGTGTTAATATTGGGCCTAAAAAAACACCCATTTTGGCCGGGAATAAAACAACATATTTGCATTGCACAGTGTATCAAAAAAATTGCCGCTAACAACAAAAGAGTGGTTTCAATAGAGGATACTTTTTAGGGACACCAGGTATAATCATTATGCATGGCCGTAGCTAGATTGTCTAATTGGTAATTGAGATATATTATATACGAGTATTTTTATTTTATTTTCTAATAATTTGTAACATAAATAACATAATATTATACAGGGTGTCCCAAAAAAAACGCAACCACTTAAATATGCAAGAATATTAATATATTGTTCGGGTTTGCACCATAGTTCAGCTAAAATTACTTTTAGCATTGTAAATGAAGGATTAAGAGCCATTTTCAATTCCCAGAGGTGCTTATCTATTGTGCTTTAGAGCTGTATTAATGTTCTGCATATTTAAGTGGTTGCTTTTTTTTTGGGACACCCTGTACAAGTACACAATACTGTGACAGGAGAAAAGAACAGGACTTTCGTCCCAATTGACACCTGTCACCTAACCCCTAAATACATAAATATATAGGCTATATGCACAGATACACACACAGCGTACTTAACAAGGAATAAGAATATAAGTTAGGTAAACTATGTCTATCTCACAAAGATTAAGACGTTAAGTGCACTGATCCAAACACAGCGGTCCATCTAAACAAACAAGTTTTAGAATAATATTCAATTAATAAGATAATCGTGCATGTATAAAAACGTATATACATTTCGGGTTATTATAATTATTCGTATATTTAGAAATTTATTCTTCATCTATATGGTCTCCACAGTAAATATTCCGGGTTATTATGATCATTCGTATATTTAGAAATTTATTCTTCATCTATATATGGTGTTTACAGTCAATGAATACTAAAGTATTAGAAAAGCGGGACAATTCTCAGGCTAACTACGCTGTTGAGTATGCGACCAATATGCACCCCCAATTGTAAGTAGTTTGGCAATAATAAAGTAGTTTTTAAAGTTCCTGTTTGAAAGCACTTTTCTCGGCTTTAACTTTCATTTCTCAATTATATACGCTCTGTAGATTATTATATAAAATATATTTAATGTTAAGTTAACTGGAAAGAACGATTTTCATATCATATATTATTGCTAGTTAATGTCAACTACTAGTCTCCCACATGCATAATGTAGTTCACGACATCTTTTCAGCGATTATTTGGTAAACATTTGGGGCAAAAACGGTTACTGTTTTATCAGGGTTGACGATCTGGTCAAAAAACTTGGTCTTATTAATGGATGAAATGCTTGTTGCATCATAATAATCCGAGGCACAAAAAAATGAGAAAAACTCGTCTGCACTTGGGAATGTGTATGAACGTTGATAATATTCACTGGTGACAACAACAAAACCTGATTTCCGAAGCAGCGCCTCAGCGTCAGATTTCTTAACGTAATAAACCGGTACTTGCGGGTTCGCCTTTTCTTTATCTTCAAAGAATAGATCAACAGCTTTTTTGACAATGTCGGCGTCATCTTCTTGACTTTGAATCGCAATCTTGCCTCCTGGTCTCAAACATTTGAAAGCAGTTTGGGCAAAGATTTGCTTTTCTTCATCGTTCAGCCACTGAAATACGAAATTACTGAAATGTATATCGTAATATTGTTCATTGAAGTGAGGAAATTGACTCGAACTGTCGCCAGGTTGAAATACGATACTTTCCTGGGTACCAGAATGTTTCTGAATTGCAACTTTAATTCTCTCAACGTCTGGATCAACACCAACTACTAAACCTTCTTTTATACCAGTTGTCTCCGCAAGGAATGAAGTAAGTTCACCTGTTCCGCATCCCATATCAAGGACTTTGTCTCCTGATTGTATCTTGGCTGACAGGGCGAAACTTTTACCATACTGTATCTGAAGATCGTTAATCACTGAATATTGTATTGCATTCATTTTCCTCCCAGCGTCTATTGATATAAGAAGGTTTAGTTTTAAAGAGAGCTATTATTAAAAAGTGCGCACAGATGTGTCCATCCAATTAAGACTTAATAATGTATACTCTAGGTTACGCGTATACGGTTAAGTTCTTATATATGTCATATTTCAAAAAGCTAGGTGAATAAATCGTAATGACTTAGTTTCATACATATTTTACTATGCATTTGTGATCCATGCGTAAAATATTAAAAAAGTTGAATTTCAAGTTTTCCGCGCGTAAGTGGAAAGCAGCCCTTTAAGGCCTTTTTATGTGTCATATTTTTAGCTTTCGTCTGAACAGAATTTGAATAGCAACGATAATCCAAACGAAACTACTGAATAGACGGGTGCGTGCATGGATAACAAAACGAACTCGACAAACGATTCTGATAACAATGTTCTGATAATTTGATAATATAAATCAAGGCTACTACAGGTATAGACTGACAAATAATTACTAACTCGTCGTTGGGATAACACAGTATAGAAACGATTGTCCGTAGATAATATGACCTGGAATCGGACTGTAGATCGATTGAGAATCCACCAAAAAGCGATTGAAAATCGACTGGATATCGGTTCGAACTAGAATATAACAATTAAACAAACCAATAACGAGTACTGATACTGGGAATAACATTCACTAAGACTATAAATGATAAATGACTATTGCCGATAATTATATACATGGGAATCAATGCTATAACAAAAAGACAATGAATTTGGCATGCGGAATGATCAGCGAATTTAGCCTTTTGGAATAGCGATACTTAACTAAAACATGCGGCATGCGAATTAAATTAGCAAAGAATTATGCGCAGATGACTTGAAATAGACAAACGGCGCAAAATGTGAACATAGCGCATAGAATAACAATTATATCTATTAAATTTACTTACTTACTTTGGTTTGCGCACGCACCGAGCTTTAATAGAAAAATAGCGTAGAATATGCAGTTTTCTAGAGTTCCAATGTGAATAGATATTGATTCGTCAATTATTTTATTGAAGGCACAAACGACAGTTGCTTACTCACAAGCAGGTCCACGTTAGAACACTGACTTAAGTTTGTTTGAGTTGCTATATTTATACGGAGCGATACCGGAACGTGCTATGAATCAAGAACTGATGTTTCGCGCAACGGTCATCGCTAGGTTAGGCTGGAAAACCGCATTACGCATTTGCTGATTAAACTTACGCATTTTCGTTTAGCGGTTGTGGCTGCGGAAAATAACAAGGTTGTTTTTGCCAATACAATATCGTAGAAAACATCCGTTGTTTTGTCCCTTCCGTTTCGAAACAAACAATAATCAATTAAAAAGGTACGTGATTAAATCGAGACCATACAAGTATTTCAGTGTACATTTTTGACGCATGTTTAAGTAATTGAAATAACTCTATTTATTTTTTTTGGTGCGGTAATCCACGGACGTAGCCAGACCTTAAAAATAGGGGGAGCCGTGAAGAAAGTGGAAGCACTGCAAGCTGCAGCTCTGCTTGATAAAACGTCACACAATGGCATTTCGTGTATCAAACACAAATACAATTTGCATTCTGACTTGCCTCCAAGCAACCACTTTTAAGTATCTTTTCTTATTTCTTTATTCAGTTATAAAAAACAATTGATAAAGCTAGGTGCGTAGTAAACAAGCATACTTGAAAGACTGAGTAGATTTAATTCTTCTTCAATAAATTAATTCATTTTGAAGAAAGTATATATGAGCAATAATTTTTTCAAAAGGAGGGAGCCTCGGCTTCCACGACTTCCCCTGGCAACGTCCCTGCGGTATATTTACGCTCTCAGGTTAGTCAATTGAACTGCTTCGTTTGCGGTCCAGTTTACGCATCCACTCAACAGGTCCAGTGAACGGTTTCAACAACGGTTTTTACCGTAAATGGAAAATGTACTAAAAAAATAATCAATTTGTGGGAACACACGTATATTTGTTTAATACAGAGCTGCCGATCTGTTAAAATTGAATTGGAAAATTTTAATTTTAAATGAGATAACGTATAGGTTGGTAGTTCTTGTTTGCATATCACGTACGACGTGATTGCATAAACAGTGATGACGTATATTATGAATTATGCGTAATCATTAATATGGCATGATAATTATATAACATTATTATGACGCAATACGTCATTTGATGTTTATGTTAATTATCGAAGGACCCGAGTCGCACGTACATCTTTATCATTATAACACATGCAGCTAGAATATACATGGTTTAGAGACTACATAAAAGTACAATGGAACTCTGTAACTATGTCGGGAACGTTTATGCAAAAAATTGTTCCTTATTCGGCACCGTCTATTGTATTTTGAACAAATAAACCAATAGTAAGGTCTGAAATAACATGTTCAAGTCACGGTTGAGGAGCTAAGCCAATCTATTGCTATTGCCAGTATTGGTAGTTGGGCAAATTCCATCTAGTCTCCCAAAACCATGTATATTCTAATAACTGTGAATATAATAAGCTACAAATCATCAATTTCAATTAATCTTGCTTTCTTTATAGCGATTTTTATTGTAGTATAACAACATTTACTTTATGATAAGTAAGTAGGTGAGCAACTTTATTTAAGGAGAATTACACGTTTCAGTAAACTAATAAACTTATGCTGCTCTGATATGATCACAGTTTGGGCAGTAGCAAGGCAAAAAAAGTTCACAACATTTATGCTTGCATATAGCTATTTTATGTCAAGCCTAGCCCATGCCACCAATAGAGTTCATGATATTTTCTTTGCGATTATTTGATAAATCGTCGGGGCCAAAAAGGTTACAGTTTTATCAATGTTGATGATATCATCGAAAAATCTCTTCTTACTTAGAGATGAAATGCTTGTCCCATCATAATAATCTGAGGCACAAAAACATGAGAAAAACTCGTCTGCACTTGGGAATGTGTATGAACGTTGACAATATTCACTGGTGACAATAACAAAACCTGATTTCCGAAGCAGCGCCTCGGCGTCAGATTTCTTAACGTAATAAACTGGTACTTGTGGCTTAATCACTTTTTCTTTATCTTTAAAGAATAGCTCAGCGGCTTTTTTGACAATATCGGCGTCATCTTCTTGACTTTGAATCGCAATCTTGCCTCCTGGTCTCAGACATTTGAAAGCAGTTTGAGCAAAGATTTGCTTTTCTTGATTGTTGAGCCATTGAAACGCGAAATTACTGAAATGTATATCGTAATATTGTTCATTGAAGTGAAGAAATTGACTCGAACTGTCGCCAGGTTGAAATACGATATTTTCCTGAGTACCAGAATGTTTCTGAATAGCAACGTTAATTCTCTCAACGTCTGGATCAACACCAACCACCAAACCTTCTTTTATACCAGTTTTCTCCGCAAGGAATGAAGTGAGTTCACCTGTTCCGCATCCCATATCAAGGACTTTGTCTCCTGATTTTATCTTGGCTAACAGGGCTAGACTTTTACCATACTGTATTTGAAGATCGTTCCTCACTGAATATTGTATTGCATTCATTTTCTTCCGGGCTTATGAGTTATTAGCGCTTTATAACCTGCCTCGATGTTGGAAAATCTTGACCAAGAAATTTGAAGCGTGAAATGTGAACTAAGTATGCCTACGGTTACTATGCAGTCTGCCCGTTAACGTCAATGCCCCGTCCACATGTATCTGGATATTTTTAAAAACGGAGGTTTTTTATCCGTTTTGGCCTTGCGCCACACGTAGCCGGCGTTTTCGGCAACCGAAAACGCCGGTTTCGTGTTTACGTGTGGACGGGCGAAAACGGAAGTTTTCGAATTCGATGACGTTTATAATCGGATCCAGTCTATAACGGGCCATAACAGGCGGGTGTTTTGTTTTCATATTCAAGATGGTCAACTAAAATTGCTTGGCTGTTTTACTTTGGCCTATTTCATAATTTCAAGTTTAATAGCATGCATTCAGCTTCATGTTACGTACTATGCTAAACCTGCCGGAGAGTGTCTAAAAAAGCGAATCAATATGATTAAGATGCTTCCCATCTCACTATAGATAGACCACGAAGATTTTGGTCATTTAGTCATTTTAATTCAAGAAAAAGCGAGCATAAAGTGAACCCAAACTCCGCCAAATTAACATAGTTGTTATCTGGGCGCGCATAAATTATTGCCATTCGAGCCCAGCGATCGTTTGAAAGCGCTCATATTAGTTGGAAATGCGCATGCTCTACGCCTGGCGCTATCAAATTTTCTTCGTTTTAGCGTTTACGTGCATGTCGACGGGCAAAAATGATTCGAATACGCTTCGTGTGAACGCCGAAAAAATCCTCCGTTTTTTAAAATACTCGGATACGTGTGGACAGGGTCTTAAGCTCTTGGTAAAAATTACATGAAATGTACACCAAATTTGGACAATATATAGTATATACCTAAAGTCCAAGTATACATGGTCTGAACTTTGTACTGCATGTTCCGGATGATGTATTTTTGAAAAGCTTGAAGCGAAATTGGAATAATAATTTTAGCACTTAACCCTGGTTCTCATGTGTCATCGACAGTCGGCGATTATTATATATATAGGACGCTTTCGAGACAAGTGTCATTAAAAAACGATCTTGCTTAATTGTTGTTGCCTCATTTTTTTATGCTCTAAAATGAACGATACACTCTGTTATTTCAATGAATTTCAAACGATTGAATTAGAAAGAGAATGGATAGTGTCTCTATTGAAAAACTACGACGTATCATACACGCGTGGTTTCCTTCCTGATCAAAATCCACTGGTTAGTATATATTTCCTGCTTTGCTCATCAACATTTTAATAATTTAGATTTATTTTTGAAGTCAGTAATTTTTTCCAAAAGATTAGAGCAATATAATCAGAGAATTGAATTTACTTTATCACATTTTAAATCATTAAACATTACAGCATTTTAAGACAAATACATTATTAATATATTTACTTGCGGTTGGGGTTGCGGCGGCTTCCGCATGTATTGTTTTGCAATGCCTTGTATTTTATTGCA